ACAAAAAGATCTCTCCTTCTCTGAGGCTGTGTGCCCTTCTCACACACTGCCAGGCACTGCAGCATGCACAGTGCTGTGCCAGGCCTCCCAGACCCACACACATGCACTCACACATGCATGCAGGAACACACATATACACACAGAATATTCAAATGCCAATTTTACCACCCACTGAAAGTTTGTCTTCTTCACTTCTCCTATGAAGCACAAACAATGAAGCTGCAATAACTTCATAGCAAAGAAGAAGAGAAGAACAAAACAGGAGAGACATGAAAGAAAAGGGAATAAAACTTCCTATCCATGTGAAACACCAAAGATAAACAGTGCTAACATGGTAACAATACTTGCATGGAACTTATGTTTAATCTATAAGCTGTATAAAACATGGATGCTGTCTCAGTGAGGTCACCCATTGGTTTCTGAGGTACTTAGGCCTGTAAAGATGACTGCCTAATATAAAATACCAACCCAACAAGACTTTTGGTGGACCCATCAAGAACCAAAGAGGTAGGGTTGAGGTGGACCTGTGGCCTCAGTGCTAACATCATCAGCAGAGCTGTCAAACCTGATCACAGAGAGGCCAAAATACAGTCCCAGTCGCAGGCCAAACAGTATTTACTTTTACCGATTTTTTCTGAAACTGACAATTTTTAATCAGAAGTACAAATTTATAGAACGAACCACAGCAATTTTTTCTTTAATAAAACAGCTGAACTTTTTTTTTTAACCCTCCCACAGTAACAGCAAAGAAAATTTGTGTATTTTCAATGTGAGAAAAATGAAGATTTTTAAATCTTACAAATCAAAACATGGTGATTAGGAAAACAGTGAAAAAACAAAAAGTAAAGCCGTTTGAGTTCTTTCTCTTATTTCATCTCTCTAAACTAGATGCCTGGCATCTTTCCTTGGCTGCAGAACTCAATATCATCTTGCAGACCATAGATTAATATATTTTGCGCCATGAGTTTGACATGCGTGATTCTACAGTGTTCACCTGTCAGACAAGTTATCTGCATACAAAACAATGCCAAACTGGTAATTTTGATAGCCTTCAAAATTACGAGTTATGCTGCATGCAGGTAGAACACTGAGCTATCCAACCAAAGTCAAATTAAACCAAGCCCCAAGTGGACACTTAGGAACTGCAGAGTTTAGCACTCCTGCGTTGGTTTGATTTATCAAGAATAGAGAATGCCACTGAGTTTTTGTATCATTACAAAATAGGTCCTGATGTTAAGCCCCTCGGTGTTTACTGCTTTACCCTATCATTGTGTAGCCATGACAACATTATCTCATTAGCACAAGAGTCAGAAGTCTATGGAGCTGAAATCTGCAGTCTGAATATTGATTAGGACAACCAACAACTCAACAATCACAGATTTTGGTGCTAGCAGCAGTTGTAGTTCGGTGTCTAAAGCTCATGAATTTGTCTGGATGGATGATGCGTAAGGCCACTTTGCTGCCTGAATCTGAGAACAGATGATGTAGACCTCAAACAGGTCTCCAAAGACAAATTTCATTTAAGAAAATTTAGGCGGTTTCTCAGAGCAATGACATCCTGAACAGTGGTGTGATCACTGAATTAAATGAGGTCACTCTATTTGATACAACAAAGCATACAGAAAAGCTATTCATAATGGGCTGTGGTGACTTTTCCACTTTACTTAGTGGAGCCTTTCACTTCATTAACGTTCAGCTGCGTCATTGTTGTTACTTGACCACACTACAGGAATGCAGTACTCTAGCAGCAAATAGTATCTATGCTGAGGTGGGGAGCATCTTGTGATTTGTTGATGGCATACACTGGGCCCTGAAAACCAACTGATAGGATTAGCTGGTTCTTGCTGTACCAAATGATCTGGATCACCAGAAACAGCCTGAATCCACATCACTACTATCATGTACGGTGAGATTGTTTACCTGAGAGAGAGAATGACTCTAAACCATGATCTGACGTGGTAAAACAGATCACAGACAACTTGAGCAAGATCATAACCTCTTTGTTGATTTGAAATAATTTGTGGATTTTTATCGATTTCCTGTATTTGGATTAAATCTTTTAAAGGACTTGGATCATGGGAACTCTCTTTGTAATAGCAGGATGGGAATAACCCCTGTTATTCTAGAGCAGATTAACTGTCAACAGAGGTTTAGCGTTGTCAAAGGATTAATAGTTGATTAACTTTGTCCATCTTCTCTTTTACTTTCTTACCAAAATACATGTTAAAATATATATCCTCAATCTAACATTGAAATTTTCTGACCCGTTATACCCGCAAAAAAAGCTTGCAGTCACATGTGGCAATGGTTTGTAAAATCAATTGTTTGTAGATGAAATGACTGTGGAGAAACACTCGCATAAATGTGTGTATTCTGCTGAGGCGATGGTAGAGGCCAATGGTAGTTATGTAAAATTGGACTCAGGTGGTTACAGGATTGGGTTTCATTTCAGCAGATGGATAATTTTCAGATTTAGGGAACTAAATTCAGCAGAGGAACCCAGCGACACACACATAAACCAGCAAGTCCCAAACACAGCGAGACACAGAAAAATAAACTGTACCTGCCTGTCATTTATTCTAGTAAGCAGTTTGTTTGTGTGTGTGTGTGTGAACCAAATTAAGACCCATTTTGTCATAGCTGGTGGCTCATTATGGGGAAAAAGGCAGATGGAGTGGTACAGGGCATGTTTTTAAAGCCTCTAAAAGAAAAGCATGCTTTTAAACTGGAGCTGTCAATCAATTCTGCCAAACACACACTGCAGGCGCAATGATTCACACACTCTCTGCAGAATCCCAGGTACTTCAACCACACACCCACAAAATATTCTTTGTGTTTATAAAACCCATCACTTCGGTGTAAATGTGTTCACTAACCTTTGACTGATGACTAACACATCTGGCTACAGTAAACCATGCACGGCTGCATTTTTAGAGGCTTTTGGATCAGCACAATGTGGGACAAGCTCTCAGTAATGATCACCTGTGTGACAAAGTGGCTGCTTTGGTGGACTGAAGACATGAAATCAGAAAAATGCACACACGCAGATCAGAAATCATATGGATAAAGATTTGTACATTTGCACATGACAACACTTTAGTTATTATAGTTATACAGAAACATGCCTCTTTTTGCTGGTTCGGAGTAAAGGACTGTTATTCTTAGGTTCACTTCTGAGCTCTGAAGCCTTTTACACAGGAGGCAAAACATGATTACGATTTAACTTAACAAACCTAACAGACTTCAGACTGTCTAAATAATCCAGAAGAACCATCAAATCTCTCTCTGCATATTTTCACTCATTGTGGACTCCACTTCTCAGGATGTTGTTTTGTGTGAAGTTAATCTGGGATGTTTCATTGATTAAAGAAACCTTCTGGTCCAAAGTATCAGAGGTATCTTTTTCCAAACTTTGTCTGTTTACCAGTCCTTGAAAGGCTGGGGAATGATTAAACCAAGGAGTACCTGAGTCAAAACATTTGATCCTTTCACAAGTCAAGCAGCAGAGTATTCTAACTGCTTCAGCAAAAGTGTCACAGGGCATTGGGGCAAACGCACTTTTTATTGATCTTTCCAGGGGATTTGATACTGTTGACCATGGCGTTTTATGTCAGAGACTATCAGATAGAGACCAGGCAACTGGCCACTTCAAAAGTAACCTCGACCACTGCAAGCAAAGCGTGCAGCTCAGTGAGCTCTCTTCCAGCTCTCTTGACATTAATTGAGGTGTGCCACATGGTTCAGTCTTAGGACCCACACTCTTATACCGATAACGTCAGTCAAAATATAGATTCTTTTGTACATCTCTATGTAGATGATACCATTGTTATCATCTGGTCTACAGGTCAGTTTGAGGTCAGATCAACCATTTCTGATGATGATCTAATATCTGATCAGTTTCTATAACAGGAGCAGACAGCTTTTTTTTTTTAAACTTGTGTCTAAATTTTTGATTTAACATGGCTGCAGATGCACTGAGATGTCCATTTAAAGAGATAAATAAATAGCTGTCAGATCAGCTCTGAAGAAGTTTGGTCGTTATTACAGCGGAGTGTGTTTCAATTGTTTTTGCTTCCCCCACACAGTTTTTTTTTTTTTTTCATGTATACATTAAGGCCTGCGGACATGTGATTGGTCAATACTACCATGATCATGAACAGAAACCAGAACAAGCCAAACCTTTTGACTTCCTAAATAGATCTGTACAGCTGCAATAAGACATAGGAAAAACTAACAGCTAAGTTGCCAGTTTTCTTATGGACAGTAAAGACTAAACTCACTGTCCTTTAACTAACTACAATACCCAGAGCTGACCAACCATCAGACTTATGATGCTGTTTTCAATGAGGAAAACCACGCACCTCCTGTTCCTCACAAAAATGTGAAGCTGATGAGACAAAACATTAGGGACAATTTTACCAGACTCTCTTGACTATTCTTGAGTGCGACTGTTTGAGAAATAAGGACTTGCAATACAAAACTATGCCACATTAGCATCCTTTTGAATAATATATAAACAAACTCTGACTATAAATGTAGACACACATCTTCTTAATTTAATGATGGTTACTGCATTACTTGACTCAGTATATTCAGTGTCTGGAACATGGGGTGTTTGCACACAGAAACAAGGTGACATATGAATTATTGTGTGTTACGCTTCAGTCCTCTCTCTAATGGAAATGCTCTGCAGAATCACTCAAATATCCAGTTTAATCTGCTTTGCGAGACGTAATCGATTTGCACACACATTATTTATGAACATCTAGTTAAAATACAGGCTGATGACATTTCTTCTTGATATATTTAGATATCATTGCCTTTCTAGGGACCAAAATAAACCTGTGTTAAAAGACTCGTCATACACAGAGACATTTAACACCAAACATCAACACCCTTCACAGTAAAAATAAGTTTGTTGGAGTTATAAATAAGAGATAAAATGTTTTAAAGGGTTGTAATGATAGAGAAGGAAATCTGTCAATGAGAATAGTAAAGGCTGTCAGTTATCTTTGTTCATACACATCTGCTAAGAAGTCACAGGGAGAGTTTGAGCTTCATGAACGAGTTTTAAAGAAAGGTAAAGAGCAACCACTGCAGGACAGAGTCAAAGTAAGACAGTTTAGAGACAACCACAGGAGGAGTAAGCATCTGAGAATCTGACAACTACACATTGCTCAAAATTAACATTTCTATAAGGGCCTGATTTACTAAGGTTTTCACTGAGAATGGCATTGCACAATATAAAATATTGATCTGCCCTCATTTATGCAGTGATCCTCTGCAAAACGCACATGTACTCCAGTTCTTATAGGGCTTGCTTTACTGATTTGCTTTTTTTCAAAAACAGGTTTTTTGACCGTGTGCAGTCACTCGATCACCAGGGCTCTAAATTATACTTTCCGAATGTGATACAACAGATTGAGCCAGCACGTAATTGTAACCCCTTCGGTGCCGCGCACGCAAGTCTTCATTCATGAACTGAGGGTGTTAAAAGTGCTGATTCATCCACTAAATCATCAGAAATTAAGGAAACTTTACATGCCGCTAGATATTGATATCTAAGGGTGGGATATGCGTGTAAGGAAAAGTTTGTGTGCTCCCGCGTGTACGCACTGGTGCGAATCCGCATTCGTGTATAAAACCAGGCGTTGAAGTTCTGCAGTGTGGGACAAAGAGAGGGGGACATTTAGACAATTTCAATTTTGCCCTCACTTTGGATGTGTGGATGGACATGCATGAGGATGCACAAATCGGATCCTTAGGTGAGAAGATATCACATCTCAAATATGCAGTTATTTTCTAGATGGGCACAATCAGCATAATCACATATTAATCATAATTAATAATTAATAATTTTATATAATAATATATAATTTAATTTAATTTATATTAATAATCACATAGTCATATTTTGGTTAGAGGTGGATAACCACTTGTCAATGATTACCGGTGTGTTTGTGATCCTGTCTCCTCCTCACCACATAGGAATCAGACTAAGTAAAAACTGTCTACAGTCTTAGCAGATTGCTAAGCATAAGATAAACTAACAAGTTAAATTTTTTGCCCCAATATTTAAACACAAGGATAAAATAACACCCTATATTTTATATTCATTCATGTAAACATACTAAATGGACATCCCATGATGCATTGCACATTTATAAAATACATCCTCAGTGTGCAGAGTAAGTAGATCAGCTTGCAAATTTTGTTTTGTTTGTTTGTTTTTGTGAAGGTGTTTTGACATTTATGCACATTTTTGAACATGCAAACCTGTACTTAATTAGGCCCTGCATCTGGCTCTGCTGGTTTTCATCCTGTCCCTATCATCTGCCTCCTGCATGTATCCTGAGACTAGACTCGCCGGCCAATCACAAGAAAGGTCTTGTATCTTGGGGTTTACATTGAAGCTGATTTCTGCTGTGTTGGCTATAAAAAGGTTAATAAAATGGTTGGAGTACAAAATTGTCTCAACAAATGACCTTTTTCTCTGTCAGTACTTAATTTGATATGTGATGAGACAGTGTTGTAGTTGTAGAATATACAGTATATATGCTATATCATCTTCTTGTGTGTTTGGCAGTACACCCCAGAGCTCAACCTAAAATATGAGGCCAAAGCACAAAGTCAGTGTCACGAAACATATCACACCATTGTGGAACAAATGAAGGGAAGCCTGGAAAAATGTATATCTTCATATAATTACTTTTTAGGTTAATTCTTACAGCTCTTCCTAAATTATTAATCCCTGTGTAATATCCTCCTCAGCAGCAGAGATTTATGTTTGTATTTGTATTGTTTCTGAACCAAAAATACTAATTACTTCTGTTCATTTTTAATCTGCTCTAGAGGCAGGGGAGGAGTTTTCATTTTTCTGGGACACACGTACACACAAATAAAAAAAATTAAAAAAAGGCAGTGAGACACACAAAACATGTAGGGCATACTCTCACAATCATCTCCGCCTTTCACTGAAAGAGACACCACGTGTTTACCTTATGCAGGAATTTTTAATTTCCCTTTCATAAGCCAGTCGTCAGTGACGGCTGAAATAAATGAATTTATGGCCCCCTCATTTAAACACAAGGACACAGAGTCATTGAGTGAGCCATGTGTAAACACAAAACCTACTTCTTCTGAGGTTTGAGAATTTAAGTCTATCTATCTATCTATCTATCTATCTATCTATCTATCTATCTATCTATCTATCTATCTATCTATCCATCCATCCATCCATCCATCCATCCATCCATCCATCCATCCATCCATCTTTTTTATTCATATCCTGTTGTCTCCTTCTGTCACTCATACACTCACAAATCACAGATACATTTGTGCCTGCAGGCTTGTGCTGGAGTGGTTGTGTGTTTCAGAAAGTAAACTCATGCGGTCCCATATGTAATCACTCAATGCATGTACAGGAGTGTGTCACATAGACAAATAACTACATTACCACCTAGAGAGGAGGGAGGGGAGCAGTTAGACGGAGCAACTCTGATCAAGGAGCAAGCAGCAGTTTTATATGTGCACTAATGTTTTCATCTGCACAGTGTGTAAGCAGAGGACAGCAAGTAAATATGTTTTTCAGCCCAAGGTACAGTAGGTGTAAACACACCTTTAGTTTTAAGTTCAAACAAGTCCCACTACAGGGAGAAGAATCAGCATAATGAGTTAAACAGAAACCTGGAAACTGAGGAGAGGATCTGGATGATAATACTGTCCTAACAAGCGTCACTGTATTACAGGCTTAAATCACTGCTGCTTCTGGAAGGTTCTTCAGAAATTCTTGTGTGGTGATGTCTCTTTGTAAGCTTTACATACACCAGCTGCAACATGAGTCATGGGCGTGGTAGTGGGGGGAAAAGTGAACCTGACTACCCAGGGCCTGAATAGGGAGTGGGGCCCATGAAAATCAACAGCGACCGACGTCAGTGAGCCCAGATTGAATGACCTGGGGGTTAAACATCATGCTGACCAAAAAGCATAAATCGTGGTATAAAAGGAGAAAGAGAGGAAAGAAAAAGAAAGAAGGCAGAATGAGGGGAGGCAGCTGTTGACTGCTTTCTTTCCCAAAGGTGAACCCAGTTTGCTTGTTCTGCAAAGTCTAATTAAAGTTAATGTAGTCCACTCCAGACAGCTGCTGCTGATGTTTGTAGGCTCACGTGAAGTTTTCACCTTGGCTAGTTACTAACCAGACTGCTTGCTGCTGTAAGTATAAAGACAATTATGGGCCAGCTAACATTAGTTGTCAACATTAACCAGTTTCAGAAACAAAGAGTGACGCTGAAGCAGCCCCAGCTAAAGTGCACACTCGTAATATATTCATTGAGCAATTAAGCAGTTTATCATTTTTGTCTGGTAAAAGGCCTTAACATTGTAGGACAGTGATGTGCTTAAAAGCTATTGTCAATGCAAAATAAATTCATGAGAGAGAGAGAGAGAGAGAGAGAGAGAGAGAGAGAGAGAGAGAGAGAGCGAGAGAGAGAGAGAGAGAGGTGGATGGTGAGAACATAGAAAAACAATTAGCTATTTGAACCACTCATCAATATAATCTGATCTGATTGAATCTTAAAACCCTATTCATGCTTTTTTTTTTTTTTTTGCTCATTTGCTCCATGCGCTGGCACGGATAGGGACCAACTGGCACTGACAGTGTACAGGGCCCAGAATTTGGTGCTACGCCCCTGACAGTAGAGTTTTTCATCTCAAGAGCGAAGGCATGTTACTAGAGTTTATGGCAGACTTATCCTCAATTCTCTCTCTACTGCCTCTTTGAGGGATTTCATGACTCTCCCTTTTTTACTGCTCTGGTGATGCCGAGCAGTGTTAAAATGAGGGATTGGGATCATGTCTCGACATTTTATTTACTTTTTCCTAATTCTTGTTTGACTGATTTTTCAATAACAGGGCTTCATTTAAAGTCTGGTTGTGTTAACCTCAGCTGCTTTGGGTGTAGAGGAGGATGACAGCTCTGCAACAGCTGCTGCAGTTGAGGAAGTTGTTTTAAGTCACAAAAAGTCAAAGTTTCTGTGGGTACTTTGTCTTGATTTGATGCACAGTGCTGATGTGTCTGACTGCCATAAACTCCATATCACTTCATCCCTTTAGCTTTAGAATCATGTAGCATCACTGTGGACCTCCTCACATTTTCATCTATCATCACAACTGACCACCAGAGTAGTGATGGGAATTATGACTCTTTTTAGTGAGACAGATCATTCGGCTCAGCTCACCAAGAAGAGCGAAACCACCAACAGAGCCTGAGTGCTTATTCGGCTCCAAAACGGCTCTTCATTTTACCACTTTTACGTTTTCTGATTCAGCCAAATTTAGCGTTGTTTGTCTTATGATATGTATGTATGTGTACACATACCTCTTAAATAATTCAATACATTCTTTGTACTGAAGTATTCACAAGTAAAAATTACATTTCCTAATGTAGCCATCCTGAGCGTGTCCGTCTAATGAACACAAGCACATACGTCAAAGAGCCGGCTCTTTGACGTGAACTGTCTGAACCTCGTTCACAACTGACACAACTCAACATCAGATGCCTATCAATTTGTGCACACCACTGATTTCATTAACATGATTTTGCTAAACTTTAAGTACAATTTTACATCCTGGAACCCTTAGACCTGATAGCAGACCTGATAAGATCAAAACATTCTTGATACTTTGTTTTTTTGCTTCATCTGATATTTAATTGACCTGGTTATTGATCCCCATCCCAAATGAAGACCTTGCAAGTACAGCTTGCATTAAAACTAGTGCTGCAACTAACGATTATTTTTGTTGTCGACTAATCTATCGATTGTTTTTTCGATTAATCACGACTATCTTCTTTATTTAGAAAAACCCATTTTAGACTTCTGTTTAACGTAACTTACTTAAACCTTAAATCCTGTTGTACTCTGATAGCATGTTTTTGAACAAATATATAAAAAATAATGACATAAAACATTTACCTGCAATATAGTTGATATATTTTTCAATGTAAAATACCACTTTGACTACAACAAAAATAATTAAATTGTACAAACTTAAAGTGCAAGGTAGTAAACAAAAACTCTTTATCAAGAAGTATATCAAAAAAAGCTGCAGGTAGCCTGCCTTGCAGGTTGAGGAGGTAATTAGGTTTAAACCAACCAAGGAGTTGCTTTTACTTAAAGCAAATAAGCCCATAAAGGTAAAATACATAAATAAAACAAAAGATCAATTTTGTCATTTTTTTTTTTTTCTTGTAAAGTCCCAACTGTCAACAAAGCTTAAAGCCAACATAACTGAGGGAAATATCATCTTTTTTTTTTTTTTAATTCAAATTGCAGTGCAGGAACTTAAGCATGTCAACATGCTTAGGTGTGAGGCTGGCTCTCTTCTTTGAGGCGATATTTCCAGCTGCAGAGAAGAGACGCTCAGATGGTGTAGAGGTAGCTGGAATGCACAAGAATGACTTGGCTAGTGATGCAAGGGTTGGATACTTTGTCTTATTTGACTTCCACCAAGAAAGGGGACTCTCAGTCTTTGAAAGAGGCTGCTGTCCGAAGTACATCAGTATCTGCCATGGGACAACAAATGAAAATAAGCATAATGAAGATTTGTGAAATATTATCTTGCTAATTAAAATGTACTATTATTCAATTAAATAAATCTTACCTCATTGGTGATAGACTGGTTGTTGTGAACATCCTGTTCATTGGTCTCAGTGTCACTGTCTGTTGAGGAGTCACAGGCCAGCAGTGAATCTAGAGCTGAAAAAGTTCTCTCAGCTGAGGCAAGGCTTTTGTCAGCCTCACTGGCATTTTTCTTCTCAGCCCCTGGGATGGATTGCAGGGCCAGAGCTTGGACTTTTTTTTGAACAGTGAACCTCTCCTCTGGGGTCAGAAATTTCAGTTTCCTAAATCGTGGATCTAAGGCTTCTGTGATGACCTGTGTGCATGGTTCATCACGCGTGACTGTGACCTCATTAGTCCAGCGTACAGTGGTCTCCTCTGAAGCAACTGCCTGAAAGGCCTGCACAGGAGCTGCATCATAGGTGGTGTGAGTGGACTTCAAAAGCCCTCTGACCAGAGGAGGGAGAGCAGAAACTGTCACATAACTTTCACTACTCAAGTAGACTGTGGCACATTCAAAGGCTGTAAGAGCTTTAGCCAGTTCCTCTAGCAGGAGCCACTGATCTGCTTTCAGGTCAAGGAAATGTTTATCACTCTGCGTGACTGTTGGGTCAGACAGTGTTGCAGTCAGCGGCCATCTCTGTTCTAGCAAATGGGTGACCATGTAAAAGGTGCTGTTCCACCTGGTAGAGACATCTTGGATAAGTTTATGTTCTGGGGTCCCCATCTGTTTCTGTTTGGCCTTCAGCGTGCTTGAAGCCAGTTCACTTTTTCTGAAGTGCTCCACAAGACATCTTGCTGCTCCCAGTGTTTTCATGATCTGAGGGCGTTTTAGAGCACGACTGATCACTAATTACAAAGTGTGACCAGCGCAGCGGAATGACATCCACCCATGCTTTTCTTGCAGAATGTTTGCAGCCAGGACAATGTTGGAGCCATTGTCATGGACAACAGCCACAATATTGCTTGCAGAGATCTCAAACCTTGCCATGGCCTCCTCAATCCATGCAGCAATGTTTGATCCAGTATGTCATTCTTCTAGTGGCATGGTTGTGAGACAGAGGCTTGTGAGCTCCCAGTCATCACTTACGAAGTGACATGTGATGCCAAGATATGCCTCTGTGGAAATGCTTGTCCAGGCATCAGCTGTGAGGGCAATCTTGTTCTTGTTTAATTTAAGAGTTGCCTTTATGTCACTGACAGCAGTCTCATACTTTTCTTCAATCAGTTTCGTAAAATGAGTTCTGGATGGCAAGGTGTAGCCTGGATGAAAGGTCTGGATCATCTGCTTGAAGCCATCATCTTCAACCATGGATATTGGTCTCATGTCAGTTACTATCATGTTAAGGATGCTCTGTGTCAGGACTTCAGCCATTTGGGGGGTGCATGAACCTCTTTTCATGACAAACTCATCCACACGCCACTGCTTAACACTACTAAAACAAAGAGAATAAAACGAGTTATATTACTTCACAATTCAAATTTAAATTTTTCAAAATTAAATACCTGAAACAAATCACAGATTTCTTAGTTGTGAAATATCTTAGTCTTAAATATTGAACTAATATGCTCCAAATCACACAGCTGATAAGCGCACGAGGTTTACAATTCAGTATAAAAGCTAGTAGGCCTAACGCCTGTAATTCATTGATTACTGCCATAAAATACGCTTTAACGTAAGTGAATAGCCATCGCTAAACAAGCTTCTCCCATGATTTACTGACTGACTGATCTCCGACACACACGTATTTGCATCATAGGCTGGTGATTAATTAACAAATTAGCATGTCGTTTTAAAATATCTACGAAGTATCAAAGTTATTTGTGAACTCACCTTTCTGCGGTACATGTTACGGCTCCGGGGTGTCGGCGTTTCAGATGCTCATGCATCGCCGTGGTGCTGCCATGGTGCGAAAGCTGGGCTTTGCATAGCTTGCACTTAACATGCTTTTTTGGCTTGTTCTCGGTAAAATGTTCCCAAACTCTGGAAGTTTTGGGACGAAGTTTTTGGGCGTTGTCTTCGGTTCTTTCTGCCATACTGTGTGCATTCTTCTTCTGTGTTTTCGCCATAGGTTTGATCGCGGGATGTAAACAGCGAGCGCTACTGCCCCCAGCACATCCTGTAGTGCACTGCAGTTATAGATGGGCATGAGGCGCCGGCATGTGAATTTCAACAACAATAACACGACGCGTCGTTGCTTAAGTTTTCGTGTCGATGAATTTTTGTTGCAGCCCTATTTAAAACATGAAGATGTTTTGTGTAGATGTCACAGCAGTCATGGCAGTTTATTATTCATTCCCAGTGTTTTGTCTGTTGGTATCATGTGCATCACATGTCAAGGGGGGGGACTGTCTTGTGGTTAGACCTTGATCGTTTTCAGATAATTTGTTCTTACTTACAGACATTTTGACCAATAATATCCTCATCTGCCAAACAACTAGATGTGAAAATGGTGACAGGGTGAGTACTGGCTGTTTAACCCTGCTTGGTACAAATATTCTTCTTATGTAGTTTCACAAAGGGGAGCGAAAATTCTGCAAACCCACCCTTTAAATCAGCAAGAAGCAGAACTCTGGCTTTACTCATGTTGTGCAGCATGTTGTGCTTAATTACAGTTTTCCCACTAAAACACAACATGTTTTCTCCTTCTTGTGCTAAGTGGTATGTGTATTTATGCTCACAGCAACCTTCCAAGGCTGAATTTCTGATGTGGACACATAGCAATGTGTCTTTGTGCATTAAAGCCACCAACTCCTGGTTGGAAGTATGTATTGTATCACCAGCATACTCCTACATGTGTTTACGCGTCCTTGTCCAGGATATACAAACAAAAGAGCCACCCACACAGGAAAACATTACAACTCCACAGGGTACCTTTACACTGTAGTGTTATTCTGGCAAACACTTGCAACACTCACAACATATAGTCACAGGTTCTATGACACAAAATTAAAATCTGAGCACATTGTACCAAACATGAACATAAGCCTCCCTGATGAAAAACACAGACATTTTCAGGTTTACTGAATCATGAATCATTGTTACTGTGTAGGTGGTGATACATGATTGTTACCTGAAACAGGGATCATAAAAACCTATGATATAATGACTCATAACTCGCTTTAATAACACCTATATGTTACCAAACTGGAGTCTGATATTTTCACAGATTTACTCAAGCAGAGTGATAACACTCCACGGCAGACTAAGTCTTATGACTTTGTCTATGATTTAACACTTATCTTTGCATCATGTTCCTGTTCTGTGTCTGTGTGTGTCTGTGTGTGTGAACATGTGTGAGTGTGTAAGAGAGTTTTAATGCTGGTGCTGACTGGCCAGCTGAAGAAGACATAGTGCTTTTGTAATTAACATCTGAGAACTAATTTAAATCACATACCTTTCCAGGCGAATCATTAATCATGAGGAGTTCACACAGCAGCTGATGAAAAAATGCACACCTAAAGGATTGATCGCCGGACATTTCATCAACAAGTGCTGACGTTCTCAGAGAAAGTGGGGGATCAATTATTGTCACTCTCCCAGAAACAAACAAGAGTGATCACAAGTGGTCAATGTTGTTTGTTTTTTTTGCTCCTCTGGTGCATTTAAAGGTTAAACGCCCATCCCTGCTCTGATTTGAAAGGCATTCATACCATTAATAATTCACACACACACAGACACAGACACACACACACACAAGTATTTTAGCCTCTTCTGTGTCACAAACTGAAGTGAACTCTAGTGGATGCAGCAGAATATGAAAAGCCAGCCAAAAAGCATTAGTTAGTATAGATCTCCTAAAGTCTGTTATGTACAGCGTGCAGTGTATCGTGGGTGGTAATAGAGACTTTAGCCTTGACTGTGCAGGAAAGTTCTCACTACACACCTCTTCAGCAGCTCTCTGTGTGAAGCATACTTTCAAAAACAGAGTCATTCTTTGACATTGCTGGGATGCTAAACTGAGGTGTTAACAGTTTTCTACCTCAACACATGAATTCAGTTTTTTTTTTTTTGTTTTTTTTTTACTGCACCTACTATATATGTGGAGCAAAACTTTAGCATCATCTGAAATGACCTTTCCCAAATGCACTCATTTAAGCAGCTGTTTGAGGTTGGGCTGTGCATCCGGATGAAATATTAATTTTATGTTTGCTGTTATCTCTGGCAAGCAGAAAAGCTTTTCATTACCTGGTTTTGTTTCACTCATTTTATGGCAATAGTTGTAATAATTTGCATTTAAAAAAGGTAGCATAACAGATCAGGAGGAGTGGACCTTCCTACATCATTTCCTACAAAATCCAGCATTGGGTTTTTACAGTTTTCAGTCAGAAGATGTAGTCAGTCAAACTAACAACAATATCAGTGGATTAATCATGTGTGAGTGAGGTTTGCTTTGACTTTGGGTGATTGATAGTTGTTCAGAACATCCCCCAAAACCATCGAATTAAAATGAACGCACACATAAAGCACTTTGGTGTGTAGTACGGGTGTCATTGTTAGTTTCTTCCTAACGATCACTTGTTAGGGCTTAGGTTGTGTTGACATGATGCAATTGTCAGGTGAAAAGGTGTTGCTAATTTGAGGACGCAGACAATGTCTCCATCCGGTCCAAAGTCAGACACACATGGTGCAGTTGTCCTACTATTTGGAGAGAGCATTCTGGAGAGTCCAGAGTTTGTGTGTGCAGAGGGAAGGAGGTGTAGAGGGGGCAAAACAGGCAGAGTTTAGCTTCCTGACAGCCCGAAAGGGTAGTGAGATGGGTCTTCGCTCTTCTTCACTTGCAGAGGAAGAAGAAATGAGGAACAACATTGCAAACCTTCAGTAACCTGTGGACTTCCCCTGTTAGCCATGGCTTCTGGCTGAACTAACAGTGATGGACTAAGTGGTGGTGACCTCATCTATGCACTTGCTGACATAAGTGGTTACAGTCTCTGTGTACTCCTGGAGGTCTGTGATGGAGTTGTAAGTGGCAGCCTCTTTGAACATATTCCAGTCTTGAAGTGCCTCTAAAGACACTTGAGTCCACACTTGTACCTGTTGTCTAAATGTTTGGGTGACTTTAACTAGCGGTCTATATGCTAACATTAGCATAACAGTGAGGCCTTCCGATGCACCAAGGTATGAGAGGGGAAGGGCCTTGTTGGCTCCTCTCTGGGAGGTAAAAGCATTGTCCAGAGTGTTATTTTCCAGTGTTGGGAAGTTAATCTGTGGATATAATTTGAGAAAGACAGTCTTGGGGTCAAGCATGGTTGAAATCTCCGGCAAGGATGGAGAAAGGATCTGGGTGGGCTGTCTGCTGCTTACTCATGTTTTGGTACAGTTCATTCAGCGCCTCACTACTGTTTTTGTTGGAGCTGGTAAACAGCCACAAGCAGTATGGCCATAAATTCCCTTGGTAGATCAAACTGCCGGCACTTCAGAACCATTAACTCTAGTAATGCTAAGCACTGTTTACTGACCATGACAGCATCTAAGGACACCAGGCAATGATGTAAACACAGAGCCCACCACCTTAAGTTTTGCCTCCTTCGACAAGAGCTCTGTCCGCTTGGTAGCACGCTAGCTGGTCGAGCTGAATAGTGCCATCTAGAACACTGCTGTCAAGCCATGTTTCCACAAACACAAAAACACAGCACTCTCTCACAGTCCTGCGAGTTGAACGGAGTAGTCAAATGTAATCCTGTTTGTTGGCCAAAGAGTGTATGTTGGTCATAACTATGGTGGGAATAGCTGGCTTATGTGGCTTAGCCGCTAGCCTAGCTTGGATACCTCTGCCTATGCTCTGCTTCTGTTTCCTCTTACACTGTTCATGGTGCCTCCACTGTGGGTGCAACACAGGAGTGGGGGTTGGTATTGTTGTAGGCATCCGGAGTCTCTGTGTAGTCCCAGTGCATTGGAAAAAAATGAAATGAAATGAAAATGTGTTTCAGGCCTCAGTGTGGGTAAACTTTAACTCCATCAGTGTAATTCTGTCTGTGTCGAAAGAAGCCCACAGTTATATGAGCGCCTTCAGGAATGCAGGCATAACGAAGATGTAGAAATCACTCTGACCTGTACGCTCATTAACTTAGTCAAGACTGCAAATTAGCACACTGTAAAAATATTTCCAGGTGTGAGCAGACAAAGTTTTTTTTCTTCCCCAAGTTTGTCTCTCTCTCTCTCTCTTGTTTCTTTTTGTCTCTGTCTCTCTCTCTCTCGCTCTCTCTCTCACACACACACACACACACACACACACACACACACACACACACACACACACACACACAAACACAGCACTTCAGTAATCTGGGAAATGGCAGAGAGTTGAGGAGATTAAAGACAGACTAACTGTGAAGTCTCAATTCTGTCTCCTCTGATAAAGATCATTCCTGGCAGGTATCAAAAGATGGGGAAGGGGAGGATGGTGAGAAGGGAGACAGTTTGTGAAGAGTTCAGAGAGAAATTGTAAGGATATACAGTCTTTGTGTCACAGGTAACGTCTGTTGTTCTAAAATAGATACTCAGACTAGAGAGAGGAGGTGAAAGAAACACATAATTATCTTAGATGAAATAAGAAAAAAAAAACAGAGAAGGAAATGAAGAAGAGAGCAGATTAAATATTGATACTGCTGCTGAAAAAAAAACATTTATTAGTCCCTTATTGTCGCACATTATCTGCTGCTATTGCAGCATATGGCACATATAAGTATTGTATTTCTCAAAGGCACATTTGAAGCGAACATTTAATTTTAAATAGTCCTCTGAGGCAGTGACACAATTGCAGCATGGAAAACAAGCATAGTAAAAAAAAGAGATGAGGAAAATATGACATTATATTTCATGCCTTGGGCTGATTATGAGATCAACAATACATTTTAGGAAAAAGAGGGCTTTAAGTTCACATATATGGTTGTAATAATGGATTCAAATGAATCCCTGTCCATCTTTGTGTTTCATACTCCCTGTTTGACTGTAACTATTTTTACTCCTGCCCACTGACCCTGTTTTTCACACAGGCAGCAGAGGCCAGCATCAGCTATGGGCAAGGGTGAACTTAACCCACCCAAACATAGTTTATTGGGGGGCAAGGTTTTCTTGCGCCGCAAGCATTGATACATAAGGCCCCAGGTGTCTACTGGTAACAGGCTTTTATTTATTTTGGCACTGGCCAGCACTGGGCCATTATTTTTTTTGGCAATAGATATACAAGGCACAACAATATACTGTAGTACTTTAAGAACAGTAGTGCAAATATCAAGATTGTCCAGAGAACACTTTAAACAAGAACACTTTGCAGTAAAAAAAAGAGGCAGATGTGCAATTATTGGTAATAAAAAAGGAGAAAGAAAAACTACTGTACAAAATATACGTTAACAAAAAGTGCATACCGTAGAGAACAGTAACAAAAATAGGCCTTCCGTAGTACTTTCAATGCCACTTATGTAAAACTGAACATACAGGTACTGGTAAAACACAAAAGTAACAATGCCACTCATTATCCTCTGTAAACTCTGAATACGTTGAAAATAAAAACAGACAATTACTGTATAGCAGCAACAATAATAGGCCTTACCTACTGTAACAATAAATGCACTCATCTTCCTCTGTAAAACTGAACAACAAAAAACCACACAGCAGCCATAATAGTCCCACTAGACTTAAAACTCAACGCCACTCATCCTCCTCCTCGCCTCCCAACTCCTCTGCTCTCGTCTTCAATCACAAGTTCGTTTTGGAACTCCTGTTCCTCATCGCTCTCATGCTCTTCCTCAAAAGCCTCAGCAGCCCCCCCCCCCCCCCCCCTCCCCCCCCAGCCCTCACAAGCAGCTCCCTGCCTGCCTGGCATGGCTGCCCCTCCTTGAAGCAATGAATGAGGTGGTCCTCTCTCCCATCAGCTGCTACAGTCAGCCCACACACCTTAGAGGACAACGAAGAAAAAGAACGAAACAAAAGAAAAAAATCAGGCAGTGGCTACCGTGTGCATACACCACTCCCTCTCTATCACTCACTAGCACTCTCTCTCTCTCTCTCTCTCTCTCTCACACACACACACACAAATGGTGTTTTTTATTGCTACCTTAAATGAGTTGATCACAGTGTCCCGATTCAGGGCATTCCAGGCTTTTAAGACCCAGTCGATCAGTAATCGGCAAGAAGGGGCTCTTAGGTTCCCTGACTTGGTGTAAGTCTTATCTGTGTCACCTGCCATCCAGGTAGTGGAGTCATGGAGGTGGGCTTTGAAGGGCGCATTCCACACTACGTGGGGGGGCCTGAATGTACTTGGTACAACCTCAAGGTATCACAGCCATACTAACGCCATACCCCCTCTTCAGCTCTGCCTGCGTGGCCATGCTGATATGACAGTGGTACGCGTCCCATGCGAGCAGCTGGGCTCCCAAGTGAAATTTTCCCACCACCTTCTGGAGCCATTCCTTTGTCAGGTCGTTGTTGAACCACCCATTCTTGGAGGAAGTTATCACAGCTCCTGGAATGTTCTGAATAGCTTTTGCATCGCGGACAGCCCCCTTGAAAACAACGAAAGCCTTCAGTTTTGTCCCATCAGCTTTGGCTGCCAGGGCCACCGTAATGCGAGCTTTCTCGTGGCCAGTTGTCTTAAGCGAGACGGAGTGGGGGTCTCTTGCATCAACTGTACTGTCACCCACCATGTCAAACCAGGCAGTTTTGTCCATGGCGATGATATTCTTCGCGGTGATCTTCTTGCTCTGTATCTGCCGGCTGTAGTAGATGACCAAGTTTACAATCTTATAAATAGGAGCATCTTTCTGAGCAACAGTTGTTTTCCTCCGAAGAAAAAAGTTGTTGCGCCGGAGGAATCTGAAAAGCCAGCCGACACTCGCCTCGAACGCCCACCCATCTCTCTTATCATCCACCACAGCATACATCTCCTTGGCCTTATCTCAAATCATTTTGCGGGAAACTGAGGTTTCGTCCACACATGTGGTGAATCCACTGACACAGTTTAGCTTCCAGCTCCTCACTTAATTTCTTCCTCCCTCCACCTGACAAACGAGCACGCTTGCCATCCGAGTCAGCCTGAAAAGTCATTTCACTTATTTGTTTCTTCCATTCTCTAATGCGCTTGGGATCCGCATGAAATTGTCTGGCCGCTGCTTCTCTGGAGTGCTGCTTGGCATATTTCACCACCGCTAGTTTGAACGTTAAATCAAATTTTCTTTTCTTCCTCACTCTTATGTCGGCATTTTGATCAAACTCCTGGCCATTATTCTCCCAATTCTCCACCATGTTCCCTTCATCCACCTGTCGTTCACTTTCATCCGCCACTCCTTGTTACTTGTGCTGTTTCTGTTTGGGGCGTGACAACTTGAGGCCCGTATACTTTATTGCATGACAGTGTTGGGCAGCCAAAATAGCAGATCTACACATTCACAATGCGTTGACGGCCGACGCATTATCACCTTGTAAATCTTTTTTTCTTTTTTTGCACATGAGCCTGAAGGTTTGCTGTTTGTGGTGCACTAATGTCATGTGACATAAATTACTGGCAAGTTAAAATAAATTGCAAAATCTTACATGAAACCAAGTTAAGATAAAATCAATCTCAAATAATGACCCGAGGCATTTAAACCAACCTGGCGTTTATTTGAGACAGGCGTGTAATTGACAAAATGAGGTCAGACCCTTGGCCATTATATGAGACCCGGCGGCAGTTTGACACCAGGCTACTAATTGGTCATTTACGGTATAACACAGGGTATGTAGCGGACCTGATGGACCTCATCTTTGAGAAGGTGTTTGTGGACCCAGCGCCCTACTCTGATGCAGTCCAGGCAATCCCCATTCCGGAAGACCTTGCTGCACAGTTTGAGCAGCCAGACAAGGAGGAGGTCATAGCTGGGTATGTGTTCCGCTTCAATCAAGCAGCTGTTTGCATCCCACATAGTGACCCGCAGCATCAGGAAACTCCATGCGAATTCGAAGGACCACACAAGCTGGGATGACGACATGGATGCTGCATCCCAGCAAGCCCCAACACCAGCTCATAAAGGTTCGGTATGTAAGGTACCTGTAACGACTTAAAGCAATTGAACAAGATATTTAGTCTATTGATTATTTGTTTGTTTTGTATCCCATTTTATTTTTTGTGGATTGCCTGCTAGAACATATAGCTTCGGGAGCACTCTCCTCCCTTCCCCTCCCCTCTCCTGTCCTCTCTTACCACTAAACTAAGATAAAAATTGTCAATAATATTACCTGTTGCACTTTGTAGTTTTGCCTTAGTGTCTCACACTCTGTCTCTGTGTTTCTACAGAATTCTACAGGGCTCCACCCCTCGGCACTTTCTACCACCTGCATGGTACCTGTCGACCTGCTCTAACACCGGCCTGCCATCCACTCCCATTGTGCTGACATGTTCCCACTGCCTCTACTCCCACCAAAACCTTCCCTCATTAGCTCCTATTGAACATTCAGACTATGATTATCACAGTTATAACTGATTTGTTAATAAACCAATAAATGTTTGAAAGTGTCTACAGAAATGACTCGTGAATAATCGCAGTCACACTGTCTTATGAAAAAAAACTTTAAAAATGGAAGAAAATACAGATTTAACAGCAGTTATCCTGTTTATCACATTTTATTACAGTTATATGATTATGACCGGTGAAGCAAAGCAAGAATGCATAACATTTAATTGGAATATGAATTATAAACTACTGTTGGATTCCTCGCAGCCGCAAAGGACCATAGTCCGCCATGCATTTGAGGTTCCCCTCAACCTCCCGCAGCCATCTAGTAACCTACAAGGTATTGCAAATAATAAATGCCATTATGTCTCATAATAAATGTGTGCAATCAACCATAATCAAGACAATCCAGTTTTCCTTATGAGTAAACAGCAGAGTATGAGCAGACGTTTTCCCGCTCCATGGGCATGGTGTTACAGTTTCCACAGGAGCACCTGTCAAAATAATTGAAGTTAAAATTTCACCTGAATGCAAGTAGACAAGTTTGAGTTTGAGTTGGATAAGAGGTGAGCTTGTCCTAACCCAGTGGTTCTCAATCCAGTCCTCGAGTCCCCCTGTCCTGCATGTTTTGGATGTTTCCCTGCTCCAACACACCTGATTCAAATGATCAGCTCGGTATCAAGCTCTGTAATGGCTTAATAACGAGCTGATCATTTGAATCAGGTGTGTTGGAGCAGGGAAACGTCCAAAACATGCAGGACAGTGGGCCTCCAGGACTGGACTTGAGAACCACTGTCCTAACCATTTCAAGTGCATAAAACATGTGACATTTGACTAATGTTGAGATGAAGAACAGTGACATTTTTAAACAACATTACACAGTCTCAAATTTTGACCAGAATGACCCATTATTGATACAGACAGACATATTTATGCTAAATTACTAAAGTAAATTCAAAATACATAGAAATAAATGTCAGTGCGCTGTTATGAGAAAACACCTCTGCTTAAACATCACAAAACATGCAAAAGATAGAATTTAGTTTAGGCCAATCAGTAAGCAGTTGACCTACTAGTTTCTACATTTTACTGTACAGGCTTGCAGCAGTCTGAACATTTGTTGGGGCTAACAGCCCTCTGATGATATTTTTTTTATCATCCGTGGACTGCAAGAACGTCACTAGACTTTTTACAAAATTGCTCATTCACCAAAAGAGCTCGGTGTAACAGTGAGACAGCGGAGACGTAACCGTTAGCAGGAGCTAGCACATAGTAACAGTGTAACAACACACACAAAGTGAAAAGTCACAAGCATTCCCATTTGTAAATTACCACTAGCCACGTTTACATGCAGACTTTTTTCTCATTCGGATTATAATCATTCCGATTGAAGCTCCCAGGCGAACTGTTTACATGGAAGCAATCTATTCTGATCTGGTGTTTACATGTGCCACGGCATTCAATCGGAACAGCTATTTACAGACACGTGATACCTTCAAACATCACGTGATTGATTGATCACGTGATCTCCGACGCAGACCAGTGCATCGTGCTCTGCTTGGAAGCCGCCATCATGTTTCCATGTGAGTCATACGTCACTGCTTGTTTACATCAGGACAGAGCATGCGCAGACAGAACCCAGCCTGACAACTTTCCGATTCACCGTTTACATGACAGGATTTTGCTTTTAATCGGAATGGGAAAAGGAAAATTCTACCCCTGTGAATCGGAATGAAATTCCATTCGGAATGGGCCTGTTTATTCCGAATGAGGTGTTTATATGGAGCATTTTCATTCCGATTGGGCTTCTAATCCGATTATATTCGGAATATTTGGCTCCATGTAAACGTAGCTACTGATTACCACATGCCGGTACGGTTGAATAACGGAGCTGCTGCTTGGAAACATTAGTACATGGCTTCTGAAGGCCCTGCCTCCTAGAGAGAGCTGTGTGAAGGAGGTGTGGTGAGCTGCAGCTCATTTGCATACCCTGAAACGGAGCGTTCTGAACAGAGCTGTTTTTAGCTGATAAAGCGAGAGCTATAACTTTTAATTCAAAGGAAATTTTGACTGAAGCATGTCACAGACATGTCTTTAACACACCTGGGAACTATTTCAATCTGTGAAAAAAGTGCATAATATGGGACCTTTAAGCGGACAGTAGAAATGAACAGATTGCTTCTAAAATTGGTCTGTTTTAAAGAAATATTTTCTACACATTCAGGCACTGTTTCAGGTGAATTTACCGTGAGTTTCCAGGATTGCCAGCATTATAACCAAGAATATAGAAAAAAAAAAAACTGCAAAGGTCAGAACTGCAGCTCTCTACATGAAATGGAACAAGCCAAGACCAAAATAGAGATCAGGTCTGAGAATGGGAAAATATAAAGAGGAGAGAGAGAGATTCAAACAGCTGCAGAGACAGGAGGAAAGAGAGACATACAATGAAACAGAAATCCAGAGAGCAAGACGGTTTGGCTTGATGATTCATTTATGTGCTTAAACCTATTTTACACCACCACCCCTGTTCATTCCCCAACAACAATAGGTGGTAATTTCCCATGTGTTGGTGAATTACATGGCTCTCTGGAAGCTGAACACATTGCTGCACTGTTATGACAAAAAGGCAAATGCTTCATGCGAAAGGGAGGTTGAAGGACCGAGGGATTTAGAGGAGAAGAGGTGGAAAGAAATTCACGTTAAAACATAGAAATGAAAGGATCAAGGGTTAATCATTGCTCTGGGATGCAAGAGCATAACAGGCTGGATGCTGAGCTGCACAATGAAGTGGGAATATGTGAAAGAGGCAAATGCTACCTGTAGATGAAAAGGGATTAATGGACCAATGTAAGGAGAGCGAGAAAGAAGAGAAGGCGTGTGCTGCCTGTTCATCTGGAAAAATACAATGAAGGAGAGGATAAAAAAGAGGGGAAAATGTGCCAAATTGTGCAGGCGTGCTAATTACTAACCACTCACTACCAGGAACATCAAAGCATGAGAGACAATAGCAGACAACAGGGACTATTTTAAACCTAACTGTGCTTCTGAACCCCCCACGCACAGAACACACTCACACACGGGAAGACTATTATGATGGCTGAGAGCATAATTAAAAACGCCCTGAGGCAGAATCAGTCAGGATGGTGTTCCTGTCGTGGTACCGAGCCCGTGAAGCTGGCTGTTTGCCCCTGACAGTGTGAGATGATGTCTGGAGGTTTACCTTTGCTGCCTGTTGTGCACCGCCACCCACCTTTTACCCACATTAGTCATGCCGCTCCCCCACGCAGAGGCTAGTCAGGGAGTAAAGGATAAAGAGACGTGGAAGTTTTTAAGGATAAAAAAAGCAGCATGTTGTAGGAAAGGAAGAAATACTGTATCCTTAGAATTAGGAAGGATGCAGGAAAGTATAGAGGGTACACAACTCTTGTGTAAGAGTCCCCTGGTTTTAGGACCAC